CTTCATTGTAAAAAGATATGACAAATGCAACAAAACACCCGGACAAAAGAGAAAGGCAGGAATAAAACTTTGCATCGGTCTTTTATTTTCCCTTTCTCTGCACAGTTTAGTGTTTCAACTACACCCTTTAGGCAGTAAAAACTGTCATCTAATCATATCCTCGCACAGTCTTAAATGCCACATACGCCCATGCCAGCCTGGAAAGGGGACCTTTCTGCGGATTAGAACGGATATGAGGTTATTTTTGTGAGATCTATGATTGCACGAGACACTCCCGTCCAGACTTAGTGTGATGACTGAGGAGGTGAGCTAATATGTTGTGGTGTTGATGCAAAAGACTTGTGTAACTTCAGCCCTTTGGCTGAATAAACAAAAAATAAACTTTTTATGTTCTATAAATCCTCTGGCACACACTGTGTGACTCTGTTTTCAGGTTCTGCCATGAACAAAAACACACCTGTGACAACCCAGGATGGATTTCTCATTGAACTTTTAACTGATGTGTGAGTAAAAATGTAACGAACAGAGAAGCCAATCTTCTGTGTAAATGCACAGTTTCAGCTGAGGGCTGAAAATGACTTGTTAAAACTAAAAGAAGCAGCTGAAAGCTAAAATACGCAACAGGTTGGTTGAAAGCATAAGGTGCAAAATGGTGGCTAAATGCTCGAAGAATTGAGGGCTTGCCAAAGACTTAAAACAGTGAAATGTTAGATAAAAACAGCAAGCTAAAATCTAAAGTAGGCAATGGCTAACTAGAGGCCAAAAGTTGTTTACAGTTTTTAAATTAAATGTTGCTGAAGCAGCAAGTTTCTAGTGAATCTGCGCTCGACAATGCAGCCTAGGTGGAGCAGTCGAACACAGATCCTCTGAGCCATCAACACAACCTATCTTCAGAAAAAAGATGAAAAGGTAAATTTTAAAAATCTGTGTTATTAGATACATGCGTATTGAACCTGGAACACTGTATTGAACTGTTTGATACAGATACATGTATTGTTGCACCCCTATTATACCCCTAATATTATATATTTGACTGTTTTATCAAATAACCTATATATGACAGCAAGACAACAAATCTAAAATGTTCTGTGTTTTCATTTCGATGCCACACACATGCAGACTCAGTATTTACATGATTAAAAAAAGTATACATTAATGTAGAAATGATTTGTTTAGGAAAAATTAATGTTTTTTTAATACAAAACAGTACAACAGCAACATCTGTAAACAGCTGTTAGCAGGCGACAGGGCAGAAACAGGACTGAGATGATGTGAGTAGTTAGCATGTAAACAGGGCAAAGATTTTAAGGATTTTACCGTGAAGAGAAGATTTATTAATACTTAAGATCATTTGTGATGCAAATCAGGAAAACACAGCTTATTGCTGCATCCATAAATTAAGTGATAAAAACCCATCATGATTTGTTTGTCATTATACCACATACTAAGAGCAAAAACAGATCACGTGGCATCTTTATTTAAAGATTTGACATGCAGTGTAGCAGATGATGTGCTTCTTTTCAAAGAACTTTTATATCAATTAAAAAAATAGCACAATTTCCAAAAGGCCCTTTTATTTCCGCATTAGAAAACTTTCAAATGTTTCACTTTTTAGGACGCTGCGGTTTCAGCTTCTGTAATCAGTCTAGATTTGAAGAGAACAAGTTTTCCACTCATTCCTTAGAGTTCAAGATGAAAAAAAAAAACGAATGAAATAAAGACATACGGAGCAGCTCTCTGCTCCAATGAAAGAACAAGACTTTGGAAGGCTTCAGAGACAATCGAGTGAAATCTAAATCTCCTGAGTTGAGTTAGAAACCCCACATTAGCACACTGTGTGATCTGACATGTTCTGCACACACTTCCTCTGGTATTATTAGAGAACTTGACAGGGTGGATTTGGCCTGGCAACACATGTTGGACACACTGCAGCAGATCATAGAGAAGACAGGGGAACTGCTTCACCGGTGGGGGTGAGAGGGTGGGAATTAGTGCTGAATTAGGCCCCACTTTGATTGGGAAACTGATTGACCGATGGTTGGCAAAACATGAAAGAGTGACCTTGAATTCTCCAACGCGCACATGGATTGGCACACGGCCTCTTCCTCTCTCCATCTCTCCTGGACTCTGTCTTTTACTCTCTCCATCAACCACACACACACACACACACACACACAGCACCACACGAACATACACCAGCACTAACACATTTCACGTATACATGTGTGCTGCTGGCACACGCTCTCCGTCTCTGCTTTTTTCACACTTTCTTTTAGTGAGAGAGAGAGAAAAAAAAAGAAAAAGAAGAAATCACTACACAGTCACGTACGACGTGCCAGAGTTGTGAGAGCAACTTCAAAGTAAGGCAGATGCAGGGACAGCACCCTCTGAATAAATTTTCTGGCCACCAGTCGATCTGCCCCCGGGCTAAGATTGTGGCTGTTCGCATCTCTCCTGACCCCTCATCAGCTCCCTGTTACATCCCATCTAACTCCGACCAGGCAGCCGACGGGGGAGCAAACGATGCACAGAGGGATGAAAAATTTAGAGGAATTAATTTTCACCAAACAGTAGATTATCAGATTAGGCGAAAGGTCAAAGTGCAGCGATGAGAAGAAAGAAAAAAAAAGAAAAAAAAAGTTGTCACGAGGGACTTTAGAGTAAGAATTTTATTTACAACCAGTTTTATTTCTGAACTCCCAAACCAACAAGTGCTTGAAGTGAGTCGGTCTTGAAACTGTTGCTTTCTCACTTGAATAAAACATGACAGATAAACTGGATTATTTCTCACTGTACTGTTACAGAACAACAATCTACTTACTGCATGCCAGTGGTGCTTTGTAACGCACTGTTCCAACGGGTGTGTGTGTGTGTGTGTGTGTGTGTGTGTGTGTGTGTGTGTGTGTGTGTGAGAGAGAGAGAGAGCTGTCCTTATTCCAGAGATATTCCTGTCGAGCAGCTGCCTCTGTGTGTCGTTCTTTTTTTTTTCTGCGTTGACTTGTTTTAATATTTGATTTCTTTATTAATCATTTATAAGGCCACGGTGGATGAGCACTGAATATTTGTAATCCCACCTGCCGGGACAAGAGGGGGGGTGTACATCAACTTTGACGTGTGGTACATTTAGTGAAATTTAAAAAAAAAAATCATTGTTTTGCATTAGTTTTAGGTGTAAAAAGAACGGGTTGTGAAGGTATCGAGAGATGTGGGGTTGAATTATGAAAGTGGATGAAGAAATGTATTTGGTACATTCTCTGCATTCTGATCCCCCCACCCCCCCACCCCCCAAAACATACACACACGCACACACACACACAGAAACAAAACAATGATGTGCTGCCCTGGGGCCAAATCTTCACCAGTGTGTGTGTGTGTGTGTGTGTGTGCACGCGCACGTGCATGTAAGTGCTGCAGTGTGTGTTTCTGTGCATGAGATCCCCTCTATTACTGAAATTCATAGAATATTCTGTATGCGGCTGCACTATATATCGCTTTAAACTGAATACAAATACACACACACACACACACACACA